TGAAAAACCGAGCGAAATGTTTAAAAAAAGGCAAGAGACAATCATTTTTTTTACATGACATGCCTTCGTCCATCCAAACAAAAAAATCGGTTCGCTTGGAGGCATCCAATTGGAAAGTGCAAGCTCATGTGGCTCAACAATTCAAGTTCTTCCGATTACCACCTACTGGCGTTGTTGCGATGTGCACTCGTTGAGCCCATCTTAACTTCTTACGAAAATGCGTGAAAATTACTTTATGGTTAGTTTGCCTCAAAAGAGCAAAAGTTTTTTTTGGCGTAGCATTCACAAAAGTAACAGACAGGTGAGAAAAACATGTGGCTAGCGAGAAGTGATAAATCGAATAAAATTTATTTTCATCATTATTCTACAATGGAGTTATTTGTATGAAATAATTCCGGTATCTGCTTACATCGGGTATTCTCTCGTGATTTCGCATTTCACATTCATGCAATTGGATAATATTTAGGGAAAAAAGGAGGCGAACAATGCAACAAAAAGGGGAAACAAATGCGAAAAGAAGAAAATTTATTTATATATATATATATATATATATATATATATATATATATATGTATGCATTTAAATCTCTAATCATATAAGTCCCTGTAGATTTGATATTACATTGGGAATTGTAAGTGCGGACCGACTTTTGTGTGCTATCTGCCTATAAGGGCAATTAAACCTTATTAAGAAAGGTTTTGTGCTTATTAGCATAACAAACAATCAACGCTTAAATAATTAACAGACACAAGAATTGCATAAAAAAAGCCGCGTTTGCATTAGGGAGAGACATCTGAACATCAACTCATATTTTTATTATTCCGCCTGAATGGACGACTACGCAAGTGTTGGTAGAGAAATATTTTGTAATCATTTCTCGTTTGTTCGTTTTTATATCTTTTTAATAGCTTTATACGCCAACGTGGCAACTTTATAATAGTAGTTTTAAAATAGTAGTAAAAGTTTTTTTTCTTAAATTGATTAACACGTAAGAAGTTTAACGGTTTAAAATCGTCGCAAGGACGCCAATCGTTTCGATCCTTCTTTTGCACTAAATGCAAGGGCAGACGAGACCGATGAATTCGAAGGTTTGAAGATTCCCGATCTAATCAAAAATTCGAACCACATATCAGCGGCTTTATACCTGATAGATTCAAACCATCTGGGTTTGTAAATCGGAAAGACCTTAGCCTTTAGTAGCAAATTTGTGAATAGTTGAGTGCTTAATTGGTTTTCTATAATCTGGCCTTAGTACGCTAGTACACTTATTTTTTAAGGAATATATATAATTTGGGTACCGGAAATATGCATCTGTTATTGGTCTAAAAACGCTTGCGATTAAAAATATAAAAGACAAGTCGCGTCGCAGATTTAGGTTAATATTTGAAAGCTTTTTACTAAATGTGTTGACTGTATATCCAAGGGCTACTACCGTCAATATAAAATCTGAAGGTCTCTTGTAACACTGAAATTTTTAAGAGGGAAGAACAGAGAGGTCTCCGGCCCAGTTTGTTTATAATATCAAATATAAATAGGGCGGCGGAATGCATTATCCAAGTCCCCATTGTTAGCCGCCGAAATTTGAGTAACTAGTTTTTTGATTTTTTAAGGTTACTCTTGCTCACACTTTCTGGCTTTGCTACAGGACATGTAATGATACAGGCAAAACTAGTTAGGATTATCACGAGAACCCGACCTCCTTCGTGATTTCTTGAAAAATTCCTGGATAACTGGGTTAACCCTCTTTCTTTTGATCTCGTTTGCTTCCAACGTTATTTTTACGACTGTTTCGCAAAGTGCTGTCTGCGAAATCACTAAATGTTGCAATAGGGTAGTGTCTTGGCACTTGCTGTGCTTATTTTTATATTAAATTTCGAGAACTGAACCTAAACACAAATTTGCTTAAACATCAAAACTGTATAGGTTTGCTACGATTATAAGTTGGAAAGAATGTCTTGAATGTAAAAAGTATATTATTGTACACTGTAATAATGATAATAATAATAATTATTATAATAATAATAGTAATGATGATGATACCCTACGATCACACCTGCGATTGATGTATATTATTTTACTTCTCGGTTCGGTTTTAGACACCCTCGAACTTAAACTGGCGTAGTCTAACGCGGAGTAGTCTAACACGGATCAAGCGACTGACTGAAAATAGTAAAATTAGTATTTCGTATTTTCTATTCAATCATTCTATGTAGCGCAGCTCGGCAAAAAAAAGTTAATAGAATTACATTACTATATATATCCGGTGTTAAAATATTATCCGGAATATGTTTTATAAAGTTTTTGTTAAGCATAATAAATAAATTCATTAGAAACAATTATAATTTTACTCTTCATTTCGTTAAAATTATTGCAATCATTTGTATATAGGTTTATGAAAATATTTTACATTTTATTTAAAACTCACTCAAGTGAAGTTCATTTACGCAAATATTGATAAAAACGTCAAAAAACGTGAATTATTAATAGAAGCCCTCGAGATATGCGAACATTTACACCGTTATACATAAAGTATATAAAATTTTACACACATGCATACATACGCACATACAAACATAAAACTATGTATATAAAAAACGTATACAATATGAATGATTGAAATATTAGATGTGCAGGGTTAAGTGCGAACATGTGAATAGAGAGCTAGAATAGAGTCAACACGCCCTGCATATACATTGACACGAACATATCAATTTACTTGCATTTATGTGAAAAGAATTTCTCTTTTATTGTGCATTTCATCTCGCAACAAATAATCTAACATACCAGCAATGAACGTTACCGGTCGTCGAAGAGGGCGCACATTTTTTGTGCAGGATTTGAAGCGAAGAGGAATTCGATTTAGGTTTGAATTTCTATAACCTATAATTTAATTAATAACACAAAGAGGGAAGATATGTTTTTTTTTTTTTGTTTTAAAATACGGTGCAACAGTACGTACGTGCATTGCGTGTTGTCAATGAAACTTTATCCTTTTATCTCACAATCAATCTTTACATCTAAAATAATAAAATAATAAATTTAAAATTTTAATTCAATCCCATAATTTTTGTATTGTGAGGTAGGTGCGGTGAGGTAGGTATGTTTAAAGCTTAACGCCACGTTAATATTGTCAGAAACTTATTTTTCTTTTCATTCATTTGCTTAAAAGATGCTTTGACGCTTCTAGGCCTTCTCCCTAAGCGATCCGAAAAGACCCCGCATTTGCATTTAGAATGTAGTCCCATTTATTAAAAGTTTTTTCAAAAATATGTCAGGGTAGCTTCATCGAGACCACTTGGAATGGTCATGAGCCTGGGGGAGAGTGGAAGACGGCAAGTGCCTCTGCCAAGATATTAAAAGAGTGTGAAGAAGATTTTGATATTGATTTTGAATGCGTTTCTAGTAATATCTACGTTCTCGCCCTTTTCTCTTTCATTGTTAAGTGATTCTCTTTTTGATAAATGCACTAAATTTTATAACTTTCTACCAAAACTTATTCGAAGAATAAGAAAAATGTTTGATCATATAAGATACCTTAGTCGGAACGTTATTCGCAAAGCCTTACTTTTTCTGCTTAATTGAAGAGAAACCTCTTTTGAAAGGCGTTCACTCTCCGTCAATAAAAGTACATGACACCTGATTGTGAGGTGTTTTGTAGGCAAAGCAAAAGTGTAGATGTTGGAAAATAAAGAAATAGAGGTAATATTCAGTACAAGGTCGTGAACTTGAAAAGTGATTTCAAGGGGATTTTTTTTTAAAACTGGAAGCCATACTACTTGAAGACCGAAGAATTCTAAAAGCGGCTTAGTTGTTTCCCTCCGAAAACACTCGAGACGTAAAGCCATCGTAAGTACCGACGGTAAGAATGAAATTTCATTATTTGCTTTCGACTTAAAAGAAAAACAGCCATAATGTACTGAAAGGCATAACAGATACGTAAGTAAGTTGTAGGGTCCAATAAATGAATGGCTCCCGTAGAGTGATAAATTGTAGCATTTTGATTATTACGCTAATTTTTGTAATCTAACCGCGCCTACTCGCGCAGACCATGACGTTAATAAAGACTTTAGTGGACAGTAGCGTCATATGTTACATCAATAATTGCCACGGATTGTAAAGCATTTATCATTTTGTGGGCATAGTTATGTAGAAATCACATTTGCGCTCAAAATCAAACCATCACCGTATACTTACTACCCTACTCCAAACACAAGCAATACTTTGTTGGATGTAGAGAAGCGCGAGGCTAACTTCACTTGTTGGAAGAATTTATGTAACGCGGATGCTAAATTTTGTTTATTGCAATCGAATGATAAAATTAAATAAATGTAAGTAACTCACCCTCCATTCATTGCTATAAGAACACTTATTGAAAGTATGTTCTCTTGTTTCATTTGAGAAATTTGTAAAATGAAAAAATTGCAATAGAGACAAAACATTAAGTTGCAACCTGAAAGATTTACTTCTGCTATAGACAAGTCATCAAGAGTCGATTAATTTTCATTTATCCATTTATTTGTTTTAGTTGATTTCTAGAACAAAAGCCTATCTAATAAAATGTCATATGCTTGGCAATTAACTGGAAAATATGCAGCCTTAGGTTAGCAATCTATTTAAACTGAGTAAATGATTGTTAGATAAGACTTTTGTACAAAATTAAATTGAATTTAATATTCTCAGCTTAATCAAGAGCTTTCGTTCTAAATGGAAATAAGTCCTTCAAAGAAAGCAGTTGAGTGTAAAAGTAGGAATTGAAAATTTACACAAAAAAAAAAAAAATTCTTAATGAAAGAAATTTTTTATCCTAAATAAAAATCCATAATTTCATTATTGTTAATCTTTTGTAATGGTTTTAATTTTTTTTTTTTTTTTTTTTTTTTTTTCTTTTGGTTCTACCTTTCCCATGTTTTTCAACATTGACAAAAACGTTCTGTATCGTTTATTTTGTTCTTATACTAAAGCAAACATTTGCAGTCAAACATAATTACATTTTAACTTACTTTGCTTTCGGTTTGATGTCGTCGTTGCTGACGAGGATATTCTTGTGGCCTTTGTTGCATTTTAGCCATACTTGTAACTGTCTGTGTAAAGATGTAAAGCAAGTGTTTTTTTTTTTTTCTCTTCTTTTTTTAATGCATTTTATTTAAGAACATAACAACAGCAGAGCTTTTCCTATAGCTTTTTTTATATTGTTAAAGTATCCAGAAATTATAGAAAAGGAATTAAGAAATTGAAAAGAAAATTTTTTCTATTACTTAGAAACACAAAACAAAAACAAGAAGTTTTCCTTTGCTTCTCCGAGTTCTCTTTTTATCTATTCTTTCTGCCCTTATCACACTGTCTCACATTTGATGCCAGTTGATAGCTTTCTGTAAAGAAAATAAATGGAAAAATTTATTGAATTAGTTGCTAATAGTAGCGAGAAAGAAAACACCAAAAGTTAAGTAGTTGGTTCGTATGTCTTCAAGCTCTTAGAAAAAGAAAAAAGTCGAAAAAAATCGAAAAGTTATCCTACCTCTTAAGGATCAATTTTGTTTATTCATCGCCTTGAGCAAATGCCTAAAAGTAACTTAACTTAAAGGCTTTCATAAATCGAACGAATATCATCCATCTATCGATGATGATCAGTATTTGTGGCCAATTTTCAGACCCATACATCCTATCGGTTATAAACTATTGATAACAATTTAGAAATTTTTCTAAATTCTGAAAAAAATTACAGAAGTGTTGATATATACCAGAAATCAATATTCCTATCAGATTTAAAATTCTTCTAAAATGTCAAGTGAAATTTACGCTTATTATCGCCTTACGGTCGCTATAAGCACTTGGACAAAGACAGAGTAGGGAATCAAAGAGACTAATTTGTCTAACAGTGTCACTCTGGTTAAGAACTCTAGTAACTACTTTACAAAATCCCTTGAGCTAAGTTTCTCTTATATGTCTTATAGCGAAATGATAGAAAATGTGTTTATCTCGGACGATGAGTGCAAAATAAAGAAAAGAAACTATAAAGCCTTTAAAACGAAACGATGGTAGCGTTCATAAGAAATGAAGAGCAAACGTGTAGTAAATTAGCGATAATTACTTCTCTTCACATGTTACTAAACTTGTCGATAAGGTTTAAAATACTTTATCAAATTCAATTCATGTTCAATCATCAGATACATACGCGATATGTATACACACATATAATGCAGTTGTTGCTTATAAATCTAGTTTTCATTCCGCTTTCCTCCATAATCGAAATAACTCTTTAAACTTTTCTCTTTAATGTGTCTATAATTTGAAGGAAAATTGCGGATTGTTTATATATAACTCATACGTCGAGGTGTTCAGGTATTTTTGTTTTTTGCTTTCACATGTTATTTAATGTTTACGTATAAGCGATGTTCACGCCCTACTTATTTTCTTATATTGCTGTAAATAGTTATTCAGAAAATTTTCTTCCAGTATAATCGAAACTTTTATGCTTGTCCTTAATGTACGCAGAAGTTATTAAAAAATATTTTAAAAATTTACAAGAAACTTTTTCCCCACGACGGTTCCTCCCGAGGATTTTATCTGGAGATTTTTATCGTTGCATTGGTATGTAGTTTATGAGAAACGACCAAGGAACCCAGAAAGCGGAGGAGTTTTCTATTTATATTGCATTGTACACGTATCCTTTTGTCAATTGATCTCATTTTAAAAATCAATCTACGTCAAAGAATTTCCAATATTTTCGCCAAAGTTGAAGACAATGTCGAAATTTTCGCGAGAATATTTACCGCAGATATCACGTACGGACCGACGGACATTTGTCAACACATCGATTGAGAATTTGTTGTGTGCAACATGATGAAAAATCACGATATCATGACTTCTAGCATATTGCACTCACTTTTTAATTCCATCCAAATTTGCATTACTTGTTGGTAACGCTCCATTTGATTGCATACTTTCTTAATTCAAATCGATTTTGTTTTCTCATATCAAAAATTTCGCAAACTAAGCATATATTTGGTAAGCAGTAGCTTTTTGTTTTAATTTGGTATTTTTGTGATCGCTCCTCGGATCCTCCGTTCATTTACTTTGTTGATCTAGGCATCTTTGCAATCATAATTCATCCACGCATTTTTCGTAAGCAGGCATGAAAAACGCATTACTTCGCTTTGATGTAAGCTCCTTTACTTATTTGTCTCTGCTGTACTTTTTTGTAAAAAAGGAATTTGAAAAATTTTCTTGGGATGTAAACATTCCTATAAAACGATATACGCTGGTATGAAAGCAAACTCTACTGTTTAGTGCTCTAGGATGGACATTGGTTCAACATATCGATTTCGAATGCTCTGTGTACGGATGGCATAAATAACATATTTCGGATGCGTTACGCTAAGTAATCTTATGAAGGACGACAAGCCTTCACATTTTTGCTCAAGAAGCTTGCGCTCTTAGCACGCAACACGGCATTGGTGAGAAAGAAGTGGGAAGAGAAGCCGTATTCTGAGAAGAAAATGTTCCTTCGCTAAATGTTAGACTTTTACCGACCGATAAAATATATGGTCCGCCAATCGTAAAATATATGATCAGCCGTGTGGAAACTTAACTATCTGTCCATGCGGCAGCCCATTAGCCAGGTCTAATTTTTGGGATTTAACGAGGGACGTAGTCGGAGAATTGTATTAAGCAAAGTGTGCTGTGTGATATTTGACAATCGGCCTTGGCCGAATACAAAGCATCATATGGTTCTTGTTTCCTAAAAGGCTTCCTACAGTTATTTTTGGTTAGATTCGTTTTTTCGAAATATATAAAAAAGTGACGAATTGAATCGATAATCTATACTCATTTTTGCGTTTATTCATACATCGAACTACTTCTATCTATTCGCCCGAGTCATTTCAACACAAATCTAAATCTTATGACCTGTTAAATTACCGAGCTACAGTCAAGTTTATCCAAAGTATTATTACTTTACTTACGCGCATCCGAACAATTGCTATCTAATTTCATTTTATCTCAGATTGTGGGAACGTTCTGAAGAATACTCTTTTACGTCTTTGTTCGAATATTTTGCTATGCATTTTGGTTACACAACAACTGATTGTCTTTATGCTCTTCCGAGCATCTGACCTTTGACTGCGACCTTTTGTGTCATTTAGACTATACATAATACGAAGAAATCGTCCCAACTTCCTTTCATCGAAATGAAAGGTTTTATTAGTGCATCATCAAATCAATTAATTTATCATAGAGTGTAATTAAAAAAAAATAAAACAAAGAAAAAAGAAAACAATTTGAAAAAACCATTAAAAAATGTTGAATTTTTGAACATTTTAGATGAGCTTTTTAATTTTAATTGAATTTCATTTAAATTCCGATTGTTTTTCGTATGAAATAATTGATGTGTGAGACGTCTGTATTGAAGCTAATTATCAAACAAACGTATGGCTTCTCGAGCATTTTAATTAGGCTTTAAAACAAAATCATTTACACATATAGAGAAAGTTTGGCGGTTTGTGTGTTTTCACAAAAATGTAAAACCATATATAAATCACTATGAATATATATATATATATATGCAGTTGTAGTTGTGAATACGTTAGTAGTAGTAGAGTAAATGATATTTATGGGATATGTAATTAAGCAAGAAAAAAAAAAAAAAAAAAAAACAAAAAGAGAGAAAAATACAAAAAGTACAAGAAAGAAAAAACGGAAAAATTTTAGTTTACAATTCCTTCCCTCTTAAAGCGGACTCAGGAAAAGAAGAAAGCACTTCAATCAACTGAACTCTTTTGCATCAAATGTTTTAATTGCTTCGAATTTTAACCTTAAGTTGATTGAGAATTTTTGTGTGAAACTAAGAAGCGAAATAATCTTAATGAAAATAGTTGGAAAAACTTGCTTGGAATAGAAGTTTTACATACACACATATACACAGGTATTTATATACATATATATATATATATATATATATGGATAACATGCAAATATACAAACCCATCGTACACAAACGCTGTGCATGCATTGTTTTTGTGCCAAGTTAATGCAAATAAAATTCAAGGATATTTTGAAAAAGAAGAAAAAGAATAAGATGAAAAGCAGAGGCAGTAGAAGAGGATTCAAATAGATTGTTGTCACAACAATAACTACGCAAAACACAAATGGGTGCCACTGCGAATGATGGTAGTTCGGCAAAAAAAAAAAAAAAAAAAAAAAAAAATTGCTGACGCAACGAAACTTTGTTGTTGTATTTTATACAAAATAAAAGTCAAAACTTTAGTTACTCAAGATTTACTTTTGAAACTTAAAACAATAGATAATATTTTACGTTTGTTTTTTTAATTTGCTGACACAGACACACAGGCACAGACACAAATACAGATACGGATACGCATACGCACACAAGAAATTGTAAAATATTTTTGTTCTTAAAATGCTGCGCTTTGTGGCATAAATGTCTTCTATGTGTTAAAAAATCGCAGGAAACTTGTAGATTAACTTTTCATTCGAACGTTTTAAGGTTCACTTCAAACCATCTCAAGTGAATTTCCGCTTCTCACTCTACGTTGAAATGAGCGTGCCCTCTATGCTGTTTATAAAAATTTCATTAAACTTTTCGAAAAAATTAAGTGAATCGTTTTTAAAATTCAAAGAGTCTTAGCGACCACTTTGCAAATACTCTCCTATTCTCTCTTCTAAAAAATTTGAATATTCCTTAGAAATGTCGTTAATAATAAAAAAAAAAATATCGAGAGCTTTCAAGCTTTGCAAGCGAAATTCGAGCATTTCAGCATTCATTGCTTTTTATAATCGCAGGGATTTAGCAAGGCATAGACGACTTTGTTTTCATGGTCCACGTAATACCAGGTGTAAAATCTGGTGATAGCGCAGAATTGTTGCGCTGAGGGAGAAAGGCAATGCAGAACCACCGAAAAAGTTTGAGAAGGATGAGGACGATACGCAGCAAAACGGAACAAATAATGGAAGAATAATGGGATGAGATTCAGCGGGAAATCAGTGCACGCGGACTTACCTCGGGTAAGATTTAAAAGCTAACGAAATAAGGGCCACATTTAATGAGGAAATGGCAGATGGAGAACTAAATAGTACGACTGAAATACTGTTTCGAGTATATAGAAGGAAGTCGTCAATGCGTAAAACCTCAGTTTGGCGGAAACAAAAATCTGCGACACACTACGAGCTGCGAAACTCCAAGAACACTGTTGTTACTCAAAGTCATCAATCAAAAACCATTAGAACGGGGTTCGTAAGCATAATAAGTGAAACGTACATCATATTGGAATGTGTACCACACGCGGCAAAACTTGCTGAGCGTAATAGGAAAGGACTGGTTTGGGATATACTGCCACGGCCGCCACATTTATCA